AGCACGTCACCATTTCCCGCAGGGGAATAATGAGTGGGGCATTGTGGTGCTGAAATTTCGAAATCACTCCTATCAAAAAAATCAACGAGTTTCAAGCCTGAGGGGTTTGAAACTCTGCTATTCCAAAATTGGTTCTTGGCATTCAAATCACCTGCCAAAATATACTTACGTCTGAAGCTTAAGAGCTCAGTGATGTCAGCATTACTCCAGGCTTTGCCTGGAGATTTGTAAACAGCTGCATTCAGCACTTCGCTATTACCAATTGGTATGCAGACCCCTGTCGCTTCTATTGAAACAAGGGGGGTAGATCTACATGGATATGGGGAATGCCTTTTCTTACTGCAACGGCAGTTCCGCCTTTTCTGCCTGAGTGGCGGTCGATTCTATAAAAGTGGTAATTTGGAATAAAGGACCTCTCATGAGGTTTCAGATGTGTCTCTGAAAACAGGGCCACATCTACGTGTAGGTCTTGCAGCTGTTTACTGAGCCCATAGCGCTGCCTCCCAATGCCGTTCGCATTAAATTCTATGACTTTGAGGGGCCTATGTAAACTAGTGGCCATTCTGTTTCATAAGGTTTACTACAATTTTGGTAATGGCCCTTATTTTGTCCTCCTCGGACACTGCACCACTGACCTCTGTCATAATCTGCTGTACTACAGTCACTACTCTCAACACATTGTCGAGAGACTGACCGTTTACATTAGTAGCCTGAACTGACTGATCTGTTTCATTTTGTAATGCAGGGGCCGGTACAATATGCTTCTTTGTTGCGGCTGGAGCCACCGGAACATGGCTTTCCTGAGGGCGCTGATTCTGCTCTGCCGCACTGCCTCGGAGTGCCGCCGCGAAGGAGACACCTGGAGTTACGGTGGCTGAAGAGAACACCCTCCCGTAGTTTTGGACGTTCTCTGAACCTTCCTTATCTCTTGCTTTTCTTTGGCATGTTTGCAACCCCGATAATTGACAGGATGGGGCTCTTCTCCCTCCACCAACCGGCAGTTGGAGCATACTGGGTTGGATGCAGAGTTTTCCTTCTCTGGGCACTCCTTGTGTAAGTGTCCACCTCCGCACCACAAACAACGTGGGGGCTGTTTGCAGATAGCTCAAATGTGGCCGAACTGCTGGCAGTTGTAGCATTTTGTGAGCCCGCTCTGTGCTCTGAACGACTCTGCCTTGACGGCAATGTGGCTGAGGTTGGTCAGTCGGAAGATTTCTTGCGACTTCTCGGTTCTAGGAATTGTGATAAGGAACAAGGGAAGGTACATGGCATCTGTTCCTTCTGGAGAAGTCCGACGGCTGGTCATTTGTTTGACGCTAATGACGTCAAACCCCAGACACACCTGACCGTCAGAAATATCTTCCGCTGGAGTGTTGTGTGGAAGGTGACGGATAACAGCTTTGATGGGTTTCTCAGCCTTAGGAAAGAATGTAAAATATGATTGGTTGTTACGTTCTAGGAAACTTCTGATGACTGAGAAGTCCGCCATTTCCTTTGTGACAATTCTGGTCCCGCTCCTGGTGTTGCGGAAATCAAAATTGCCCGTGATTAGTTCTTTGACCTTCCTCTGCTACTGCTTCAGGTTTGTCGTTGAGGTTAGTACAATTGGAGGCGGCCTACCTGGCTTGTCTGATGGTTGCTGCTCTCCCGGCTTGTTGGTTCACTCTTCCACGTCCATACCTGACGTCCTCAGGGGCGCAAAGAAGTTCTATGTTTCAAATTCATTCTTCGATTTTACTCTAGGATCCCTGGGGCTAGGCGATGGATTCGGTTTTTTAGTTTGTTCTCCTGAGGAGTTCCGCTTCCGTCTCCTTTGTTCGCGAAAATCCACGGCTGAATCTTCTTTTCCTTCCAGCATGAGAGACCCTCGCATCTCCCTGTGGATGGCAGCATAGAGGCGCAGCATGGCTGTAAAGAGCGCCCTGCCCTCGAGGTGCTTACACAGCACTGTTCTCGGCCTCGGATTTTGATATAAGTTTGTTCCATACTATGCCGTTTCAGTT